TTTTAACATCAAATTCCAAATTTTCCTCTTCTGTTTAAGATGGTCGAAACAGATGCATCAAAAGCGTTCTCGATCGAGCCGAAATTAATTTTTTTCACGGTCACGCGAGATTAATAGCCAAACGGAGCCATTTCGAGATTGATTTCGACGCGAACGGGTATGAAACCGCTATGTAGAGAGACAAAGAGAGAGTGACAGGTTGAGGGAGAGAGGGAAAGTAAGAAGGAGAAAGAGCGCGATCGGGTTATTGGTGTTTACCTGGTCGGTTGGAAAAATTTGCCGGCGGCTGCTCGTCGATCACCGGCTAATTTTCTACGTTCTCTGGCCTTTACCGGTTATTCGTCGCCGTTCTCCATGGATTTTTCGTCGATTTTATATTTTCGGTAGTGGGTATATAATCGCGAACGGCGGCGGCGGCGGCGGCGGCGGCGCGCGCGCGCGCGCTCACCGTATTGATCGTGAAAGAGAGGGTGCACACGCGTCTTCCGCGTCGTGCCCCTGCTCGCCCCCTTACTTCGTCCCCGGTGATTTATACCGTGGCGTTTAAGCACACTCGCCTTGACCTATCCGCTTGCAAATGAACCGCGTTCCTCGGACCTCGCGGTGAATCCTCGGCGAGCCGGTCGATCCGATCGATCGGTTCGCCGTGAATCCACCATTCCAACGTGAATTCTCTGCCTGACGTGTTTCCCTCGGCCGATCTTCACAGATTCCCATGTGATTCTATTCATTTCGTTTCCAATTCCATTTTATTGAATTTACATAGTTCGTGCATATTCGTTCATTTCATCGTTCGACATTCAAAAGTCAAATTGTATAAAAGTGACGTATTTCGAACGCAGGAGGAATAACTGTTTCTTTAAAAAAAATTCTCACGTGTTTGAGATATATTTGAGACAATTTTTACGTCTCGGTATTTTCATTCAATTTCCAATAGCGTGTAGGTTGTAGGTGTTTTTTTTTTTTTTCCATACATTTTACCTTTCTTGGAAATCGAGCTAAAAATATTTCTAACGCCTTTTCTAACAACGCGCATATTTGTACCTGTCGTTTAGCGTTCACAAGTGAAAAATTTCTTTAATACGTCTCGAACGTGAGACAGGATCGTTTTCTTTAGAATTTCCTCAAACGTCAATCTAATTCTCGATCTTCATACTTTTTCTTTTTTTTTCAACGATACTTCCTACATAATACGTGTTTTTCTGCAAAGATATCAGCACCGCAGCATCTTTACTCAGCTACGTGATATTCATTCGCTGCGAAAGTTACGTCACCCACGAAAGACGTTTCCATCCGGGAAACAAAGAAATATGCAAATGCCGGTCGTCAATCAACGCCGTCGCAACGCAAACATTTGCACCAATAACGAGCATCGAATAGTCTTTGCCTATTCGCGGTAAACTCGTCTTATTCCATCCTCTCTGTCTCTCTCTTTCTCTCTCTCTCTGTCGTCATTAAAATTTCGCCGCTATGCGCATTTGTCGAATCGAGCGCGGCTCAGAAAAGTAAGCTCTTCAATCGCTATATGAATATTTCATCGGTGGTGCAGCTGCGCGCCGCGGAAATTCATGCCAAATAATTCGCCTCGAGGCGTTCAGCGCCGTTTTACATCCGCGGAATTACCGCGCGAAAACATTTCTACGCTAGCACCCAGACATGTAAACTTTTGCGTCTCTCGAGTCTCGTTACCTTTACGCTAACAATCGTCAGCCGTGGAATTAGTCGTTTCGATTTTATTGCGAACGAAGGGAAAGACAGGTGTGTCAGAAGCGTGGACAATTTGGCCGAAAAAAGTTCGTGGTAACTCTAGACAATCAAATCGTTGGAACTTGTCGGAATTGCGATTCAGCCTTAAAGTCGTCGCGTCCTTCGTTGCTCTTTAAGATATTCCGCTCGATCGATGATATCTTCATAACTTGGTGTTAAATTATTAGACGCCACCGTTCTTATTTACCCACCCTTTCCTGGCGATGCAATTCATCGAATTCCTTCCTGCCGGTTTTATATATCTTTTTTTCTTTCTTTTTGAATGAAATGTAGCAGCTCGATAAAAAGTCGATCGCCAATGGCAGCTCACCGTATAAAGTTTTACGACGCAGCGATTATCGTCTTCGATTTCAGTTCGAAGATTTGAGCTCCGTGATCCATGAACCGTGGAGAATGTTTCGTAAAAATTATTTTTATACATACGTCGTTCCGACGTTTCCTCGATTCGTCGACAGAGAAGGAAGCCATTCTCCTCGATTCATTTGCAAACCTGCATACCGTACTCACGATAATGCGGTGGAAATCAGTTCGCTCGTTCCATCTCGAAATATCGCGCGCTCTGTGACGCCGGTTACGTTCGCAACGATCATACGAGTCAAATGCGTCGATAACGAACAACGGCCGTTCTCTCCCTTCTTTCTTTCCATTTCTTCATTTTTCCATTTTGGTTGTATCTCATCGTTTTTTCTTGCCGCCGTAAAATTACCAGCTCTCAAACCTGACGATCGAGCCGCGTAATTAGCGATAATAATCGCCTTGCTTTCGTTTCCGCGGCCGGCCGTGACAAGCCAAGAAAATCATTGGCTTCCTTGTTCCTGATCGCTCCGCCGATCCAAAGCATCTCCGAGGGAAATTTCCTCGCGGCTCCTCTTCCTCGCGCTCGCCGCACCACCGATATTCCGAAACTCAGCCGATTTTTTGCAGCTCGCCGAGCGCGTAATTTACTCCCTGCAACTCGCAAAGTAACTTCCATCGCGCGATTCCACTCGGCGTTTAACGCTCCTTTAACTGTCTCGGCGTAATCGACCCCGGCTTCTGGAAGTTTCGTTATTTCAACGATCACGTTTCTACGTGTGCAGCGATCATCATGATTTATTCGAGCCGTTCGTTCATTCGAACGAACGGGATCTTTAATTCACGCGAACATCCCGATCCCTCGCCACGTCTTCATTTAAACCCGCGAATCCCTCCCGAAAATACGATTCCAGCGCTCTTCTGCTCTGGCGCCTTCCGCTCGCTCGATCATATCTCTCAGCGCGATCCACGCACGCTTACGAAATTCATATTTCACGCGCGTTCGCGCGAATCGTTCCACTTGCACCTCGAGCCAGAGTCGCTCGATTCGGCCGTGCGTGCGTTCCATTCGCTTTCTCTAACAGTTGGATAGGCACTTTATTCCGTCGCCTCTGTCGGTTACATTTCACTTACGTGTACACTTCGACTGAAAGAAAGAAAGGACGACGCAACGGAACAAAACAAAAGTAAGGTGAATTGAAAAAAAAAAGAAAAAGAAAAAGAGAAAAAAAATAAGAGGAAGTGGCATTGAAGCGGGCAGGAGAGGTTTCGCAATAAATTCCCAAGTGTCCCCTTCGGTATTTCTGTAACCCGGTGTATTTTCGATCGCATCGTATGTACGTATCCCTGTTTGACGCTGTTGTCTCGCGGCGAGCGGAAATAAATTTCGCCTATTTTTGCGCGGAACAACCAGCATTCCACCGCTACGGTACTCGGAACAAGGACGGTCGTGTCTTCTATTTTTAATACCCTGGTAGCGCGGAATCGATGGATCCGGCTCGCCGACACTTGCAAAACGATCTCCTCGACACTTACTTTTCGATCGTTCGCGTATCGGTCCACTAGATTTCGCGAAATTGTATCAACATCGAACGTTGATTACTCGCGTTGACTCGACAAGCGGCCAGTATCATCCTCGGAAAATTTGTAGAATTTTCTTTGCAGTTGCAGTTTCGTCGCGACAGCGAACTTGGCAACTGACGTTATCCTCGGCAATTTCCAGGATTTTTTTTGTTTTTTTTTTTCGAGTTTTTCGCGTTAACTCGTTCTTTCTCGAACGATTCAGCCTTTGGCGTGTTCGCCTCGATATCTTAATCAACGCGGCGAACTTATCGCGATTATCGCGGGCAGCTAAACCGGGATAATAATGATCGCTGATAATGCCGGGAGTAGCCGCGCTTCCACGGAGTGATATTTCAAAGCTCGCGTACGCGCTTCCGATGAAACCGCGTCCGTAGAGTATATTAAGCGATCTACACACGATGAAACGCGCTACCATCCGATCGTCGATTTGTAGATAATGTATAGCTGGATGATTGTGTTTGCAGAATACGATGTCGATGTACCGGCCTAGGGGAAATTACTTACTTGCTTACTTGGAGCCAATAGTTGCGTGTTAATTGCGACAATGAGGAGAGACCTTATCTGGTCAGTTATCGAGCAAGGTTCGTTTGTACTCGCGATTTATATAACAAGAATTATTACCTAGGATTTCTTGTTATACGTGTACAATCGATTGTTAACATGCGATACTAATAGCTTGACTACTTCATATTTGCTCCGAATGCAATTCGAATATAATTGATTGGCGATTAATATATCTTTTACAGTCGACCTTTACACCGTCATTCTATAATGTATCAGAAACAGACTTTGATTTATAATGGCACACAAAGTCTACAAAACGGGGATACTTTTACGATCAACAGAGATTCACCTTCAAACACTAATTAAAATTTCGTTCTGCACCAAGTGTTCTGCAAAATACTGTATTAATATTTAGTGGTATTTTTTTTTTTTGTAATTCAAGTATTCTGTTGAAACCTCGAATCCTCTACAGGTACGAGGATATATTTGCCAGGCTTGCTCCGAAGTAACCAGCTCGTCTGGTAATTACGGTTCGATTACGACAACATTTCCGAGCATGGATGAAACCATGAGCGTGTCGCCTCTTCTGACGATGCAACGCGTTGAACGATTCGCTCGAGTCTCGACTCGAACAATGGTGAATCTCCTTCAGGTCGATACCGGTGCAGTCTCCTCGGCTCGCGTCGAACATCTGCCACGGGCCTCGCGTTAATTACACACACACACACACGCACACACGCATCTACACGTATATCTACGCGCACACGTACACGCGTGAACGTACGAATACACATAGGGTGCGATCGATAATTCACACTAATTTCTTTTTTCTCGCTTTCTGGTGGTTTCAGTATGACGATGGCGGGCTGCACGGGAGTTACCTCGAGGGCGGAGGTGGCGGTGGTGGAGCAGGACTGTACGATCCACACGGGAGTGCCCGGGGTGTACCTGGACTCCATCACAGTCCTCACATCGGCAGTATGGGGCCTGCACATCCCCAGTACCCACCGCCTCCGCCGCAGCCACCCCAGCACGTTCTCGCGGCGGCAGCCGCGGCTGCTGCGTCTGCGGTACCCGATGTCCACAAACGCGACAAAGACGCGATCTACGGGTGAGTTAGTTTGCTTCATTAACTCTTGACTGATTTCCCTTCTTTCAGCCGTCTCCTCGCCTTTCCCTTCGCTTCGGCACCTCGGCATTTTTGTTCAAATCTCTCTCTTTCTCTTGGAATAGTCAGATATTCGCAGTACGAGGGTGAAACGATGAAACGATAAAATTTAGAATTTTAATATGGCATAGAGCAGGGCTTGAACATTAGCACAAAATTTGGAATGCGTACTAAAACATTATTTGCTAGTAATCATTAAAGAAAATTTATTCGAAAACAATTCTTCCGGTTTCGAGTTAATTTTACTAATCGTCGTTGCGTGTCCAGGAAATTTTCGTTTTGCTGAAATTTGCTTCCACACTTTGAGAAATTTGCTTCCTTGGTATAGAGGATTTTAATTTTATCGTCGTTCGCTTGCTACGTATAGGATAGATATAGAATAACAGAATAGTACAGAAGAGTCATAAAATGATATGGAACAGCAAAGTGTAAAACGTAAAAGTAATAATAACTCTACCGTAGGATAGTTTTTTTTTTTAATGCTGCCTTGGAAGTAGTATGTCACACGTCCTGTCACATATACATCTGGATAAATTGCAGGAATTAATCTGGTCCGTGCAGAGGTAAAAACGGACAAACGCTTATACTCCCCAACTTGAATATTTTTATTCTTATTTTGTCGTCGACTTTCCGCAGTGTCTCGCAAGATACAGAGTATAAAGAGTAATTGATTTTTCTATTTTTACACGTTTCTTTCCTCGCGCTTTCCTCGCGGAAATATAGAACGCGGCGAAGTAAACTGTAAGAGTAAACGACAAGGTGTATCGCGGTCGCGGTGATGAAATTCAAACGTATAGCGCCGAGTAGAGTATAGAGTATAATAACAGAGTTAACGAATTACGTTTAACGTTCAAGGATAATACGATCCGATGGCATGTTTGAGCGATACGTGCTGCCACACGGACGGCTAACTGTAATAATATGCATGGCTGATATGAAAAAGATGTTTACTAGGTATAACGATCTACGCGGACGAGTGTATGAAAGGGTAACGAAGGAAAAACTGTACAAGTAGGTACATTGTTGCATGTATGATGCTCTATTAATATTCAAACGGACATGTACACGTCGGATGGTTCAAGGACGTTTCGTCAGCGTGTACAGTTGCAAAAAGTGCATTTGGAAAGATAGAGAAACGTCGATTGGTATATACGAGTCGGCAAATAGTCAGAATTAATCACTTTAGTCTGGGGTATTGAAGTTACAAATTTCCTATAGAGTGAGGATGATTTCTGGGTAGGAACGAGAAATCTAGAGATTTTTCGTGTATTAGTCATTAACCTTTGTGTTTTTGCATTTTTCGTCGGATGCACCAAAAATTCACAATCTATTAGTCACTTTCATTTCCAGCTCGTGCATTCGCTTATCTCAGTGACTCGTGTAAATTTCGAAGCAGTCTCGTAACTTCGACCGAGGAAAGAAAAAAAAAAAAACCACAGAGAAGAAGTACTTTTTTATTTGTATATAGACGTCTCTTGAATACTTCAAATTGATAGCGATTCACCGATATCGATCGACAGAAACACAGGTGATCCGAAAAGTGGTTACCACAAAAGAACGGTATCTCAGACGATTGACGAGTGATAAGGATTCAAAGTCCATCGGCGTTGCACGAGCCTTGGCAGCATCGTGCAATTAAAACGCGCGTTTAAAATCGGTTGAGTTAAAATCCATCATTAGAGGGGGGTCGGTTAATACTTAGAGGCGGTCGTTTAACGCCGGCACTTGCGTTAATACACCCCTATCTGGCATTAATCTGCTCGTAACTTAGCCGGCATCGAGGAATGCCGCGTTACAATGGGGTGTGATAAATCGTAATGGACAATCGTGATTTACATGAAAATTCATGACGCGTTACGTGCTTATTTCTTTATTGCAATACCTTTCTCTTCTCTTTCTTTTTCTCTCTGGATCTTCTCATGCTTTGAAACAGAATCTTCATGCTGGTGTTAACTTTTTAATATTCAGCATGTTCGAGTTTCTTGTCGCGTCCAGAAGATTCTTTTTCATTGCATTTTTCTTCACCTCTCTCTCTCTCTCTCTCTCTCTCTCTTTTATGTAAAAATAAATTTGTACATACATACGACCGATGATTCATGATTTCAATCAAATTCAGAGGATCCAGTTAGTAGTCTTTCTTTTTCATCAGCGACGAAACAAGGCCCAACTTTCGGTCGTTTCGTCATACTGCCGCCGCTTTTCTTTCCTCGAGCGTTGCTTCTTACCTCGAGCGAAATTATCTTGCCGCGTTTCTGCCGTCTTTTTTTGCGTTATACTTAAATAATTCACGTGGCGAGACCGCGTGCTCTGAAATTCGTTTCCAAGTCGCGTGCTTATCGCAGCTCATTTCCTCGTAACGATACAATTCAGCAATATAGTAATCAACATTCCTACTGCTCCAACGACTCTGTCGATTTCTAACTCTGTCGGTTAAATTCCAAGCGATTCTGAATCATACGATATCTCGTGAACGAAAAACGTCGAAGCGAGTGAGACGGCGAACAAAGATAGACGAGTTTACGAATTGCACTTGGTACGAACCTAACTTTCAGGAACAGATAAGTGGCAAATAATTTTCACTTGAACTTTCTACAATTCTCCCCTGTCGAGTCCGCACATTGTCGGCTGTTGAAATATGTTTTATTTCACCTCTCGCGTGTACGTCGATCAGTTGCAGAATAGGCAAACGAGTAAACAGGCAAATTAGGAGAAAGACGACCGAGAGGACGGGAACCGATCGTTGGATCGTGGACCAACGGCGTTTCGAGAGTGTGGCCTCGTGCCACGCTCGCAGCAGCCTCTCCGAAGCCTCGTCAATTGGCCGTTTTACGAAGCGGCACGGCCGTGTTCCGTGTGATTTATAGCCGCGAGATGGCCCGATTTCTGGTATACATCCTAGAACGGGAGCCTCATTATTTCGTGCACCCTGTAATTTGTCCACTCGTCGTGTGCCCCGGCCCTGCCGATCCCGAGCGGATTCCTCTTCTGCTTTCTCGCAGACGGTCTCGGTCTCGGTCTCGGTCTCGGTCTCGGTCTCGTCGAGCAGTTAACCGCGCAACGTTTAGCCACATCGGAGCCACCGTTTATTTCCTTGCTAGTTGATAAACTCGTGTTTACAAACCGATATCCAATGTACTTCTCCAGGTCGATTGAGTCGTCGAACAAGTGAAATCGGTTAGCTGTTTTCGTCCGCGTTTCGCTCCAGTTTCTGTCGTTCGCTTCGCCACGTGGAAATTGCCGATTACTTATTTGGTCATCGCGCATGGTGACCGGATCGTTCGCCTCGTTTGCCGTCGTCTCTCCGTTCTCGATTTTCGAGAGCGCGAGATTACGACGGAATCGTAATGATTTAGGACGAAAAGTCCGAGCCGAGATGACGACACGTTGTGACATAGGCTCTCGAGATCTAGGATTCTACTTTATTTTGACATTGATTATTATATATAATATATATAATATAAAATTATTAATATAATATAATATACAATTATTATTACATGATTATTATATAATATATAATTGTTATACATCGAATTTAATTATCGTGTGCTGATATTCTATTTTTCTGCTTTTGAGGAATTAAAGCGTTAAAGGGATAATAGATATTGAGATTTGCTCGTGGTACCTAAGTTTTTGAGATCGGCGGACGACAAACGATAAATTTAAATTTCCAGTGGATTTTCTATCGTCGGCTAAATCTCGACGTGTCAGATGCCGCGTTAACGAAATACACATTCCACGCTTTATATTTATAAAAGCAATTATTACTTCAATTACCAGCAAAATAATAGCCATCTACCGGGCACGGTGGCTAACTCACGCGTTAACCTACTCAAACAGGAAATTACACGTCGCGTATCGGTTGCAGTAAAGTTCCGAGTTTATTAAAATGAAATATTTGTTAATACCCAGCTAAACGAACTCCCCCTGTTTGAATTTACTTATCTGACCCTGAACTCTTGTTGTACGATTTTCAATTACGTATACAAACCTTGGCGAACGGTATGCTTTATGACTTTAAGTAAACGGAACTGTACTTTGAAATATATCTGCCTCGTAGTTCGCCCGGCTGACACGATGGATTAGGTGTTATTTTATACATAATCGACAGTGGGATGTACAAAGTGTATAATATTTACGATTAAAAATTCAAATGCTGTTAAATGCATTCTTAAACGACGCCAGGTTAACACAGCCTGTCTCCTCGAATCTTGCTTCGTCAACCCCTGATCAATCCTGTCCCTCCCCAAAAACTCTGCCGATCGACCGCGTTTATCATCGGCGGATCGATGATCAATTAAAGCAAGAGACCGCAAAAAATTGATTGGAAATGAACGGTGATTCTTGCCGCGGTTCTACGGCTGTCTGGCGATTGCACGAAAGAGTTTTACGTAAGCCTGGCAGGCAGACGTGTAACGCACGGGCGAATCTGCCACTCACGGCTAGGCTCGGATCCTTATGCAAGGAGCATGATTGGTCGAGTCATTTATGGATTAGACGTCTTACGCAAATCTCTCTCTCTCTTTTTCTCTCTCTATCGAACAAGCATGCCGCGAAAACACACGTTTGGCGTTTGCTCGAACGTGCGACTTCGTATCACTTGAAGCATCGTGAGCTACAGGACCACCGTAGTACCGTTTAATATTCCATTTTTTTGACTGACGATAATTAGCGCATTAGAGTGCGTTTCAGCAGATGAGCAGCTAATGAATATTAATGCACTGTTTAATGGAATTGATTGGTGCGCGCCGGTTACGTGATTACATCACACGCGTTTGCAGTTGGACAAGTTGTCTGGAAAACAGGATCCCGGCGGTTTTATTTCGGTGGCTGGCCGACCGTGTCTCCCTTCTTTTTAAGCAAAGAGAAAGAGAGAGAGGTGACTCGAGTGTTTTTCGTGCGCGGGAGAAATTGAATTTCGTTAATTTCTTGGATTATTAACG